GGGAACCAAGCAGTGTCCTCTCTCACCTCTAAAGCATGGGACTCCCATTTCATTTCCAGGTTCCCTTTGGGGCTGTGGTGGCCCCAGGCTGCAGACTCAGAGAAAAGGAAGGGTTGTAAGCAGTTACAGCTGTTTTAGTAATTGGCCTTAGGTTGCATAAAATTCATTGGTTGACTTGATCACATGCCTATTCTTGAGCCAATCACTGAGGCTAGAGAGAATGCAGGGTTCTCATTGGCCAAGATGAATCACCTGCACCTTTCTACTTAGTGACATGGAGTTAGCTCTCTTGCAGTTTAGGGACTGGAAAGAACACCCCGCGGGCTGTGCTGAAGCAAAATCAAGGAAGGAAGGGTGTTATGTCCTGAGGGGTGGAAGCGCTATGATTTCGTCAACAAGTTCTTGTTGGACAGTGGTGGCAAACCTGTGGCTGTTCGTTATCACTGGAAGCTCTAAAAGGTTCACCATCAGGGTCCTAGGACTTGTTCATTAGAAGTGCCTCACACTAACTTGGGCTCACTAAATAATGACTGAATGAGTGAGTGAATGAGTGAATGAATGCATAGAAAACAGGCTGCTTCCTGGCAGCACGGTATAGTAAAGAGAGCTCTAGACTGGGAGTCAGGGCACCGCCGTAGCTCGCCATCCTGCGTGGCTCCCAGTTCTTCTCCAAGCCTGAATCCGCCTGCCTGGGAAATGTGCACCACAAGCAACGCCAGCCTTAATGACTCGGGGTGGATTAAAATCTGGCAGTCGCAGCACTTGTTCCTCAGGGTGAGCGGTTGCTATTGGATGTGGTTGGCCTTCACTTTTAGCACAGGGAGATGGAATAGGGAAGCTGGAGCCCTGACTGAGAAAGGGCTTTGGGGACGTGATTAGGAGCTCAGGGTCCTGGATCCAGGCAGGCTCGCGTGTGGATCCTACCTTTATCCCCCTATTGCTGTGCGACTTGAGACAAACTGTAGGACTCTCTGAGTCTGTTTCCTCGTCTGTTGGAAGGGTGGGGGGCACCATGGTATCTGTCTTCAAGGGCTGGCTGTGAGCGCTCCGGCAGTGTCCGCCACTATAATCATCCACACTGTTACATCCCTGTGGCCTCACGGTGGGTTGTTGCTTCAGACAGACTTTTAAGGAATTTAACTTTGGCCAAGTCACTTCACAGCCCATGGTTTCTCCTGAGAGCCCCTGCAGTGGCAGGCTCTGGCTGGTGTCTGTAAATTCTGAGCAGGGTGCTAGGCGGCCTCTTCCCTCGTGGTGATGCTGGCACCCTGCTGGAGGCCCGGCCCTGTGGTCAATGCTGCCTTTCAGGGTGGCAGGCAAAGTGATTTTGTGCGCTCCTGGAAAATAATTCTCACCTCCTCCACGGTTAAGGGAAACATCCCTTTCCAGGAAGCGCAGGGGAAGGTAACAGGCGGCCTTTTCACCGGCTCTCAAGAGGGAAAGGCGGTTGGCCAAAGGGCTGGCCTCAGCCTGGTCAGCATGGTCAAGGTGGTTTCTGGGGCCACCCCTATCAGTCCCCAGCCTTCCTCCCTGCGAAGGAGCAGGGCTGCCCAGTTTCTCTGGGCTCGGGGAGGAGGGTGAGAATGGGGAGGAGGCGTGGGGTGGGGAGCGCTGTGCAGAAGTGAAAGGATGCTTTGCCAGTTCCCTGGTAGAGACATTAAAAGAAATCAGCTTTACAAGAACTCTAAAGGTATGCACTCCGTTGTGTGTGTGCCACAGAGAGAGGGAGAGGGGAAGGGGAGGGGGAGGGGAGCGCTCAGTTGCTTAATTGATAGATTTCTAAGGTCCTCTGAACGAACTTTCAAGTTCAGTTTAGGGGCAAAGACCCCACCGAGTTGAGCCGACGAGCAGGCAAGTTCCAGGACCAGACCTGGCCTCTCGTGTTCCCTACCCTGGCCTGGGCTCCTGGGTCGGATCTGCAGGTTTTAGAGCCTCTGACCTGGGAAGGACTTGGTGGAGGAAGAGTATGGATTTGGGAGCCGGCCTGGCAGCCTTCGAGATCTACGCTGCACTTTATCAGGGCTGTGCCTCAGTCTTCTCGTCTGAATAGAGCATAATATAATAGCGCTGGCGTCAGAAGGTGGTGGAGGCGGTGGCTGAGTTAACACGTGGAGGAAGTGCTATGTGGCGTGGGCTCTGATAAATGTGCAGCTGTGGTCATTCTGTGACCCGGGGACTTTGCAGTACAGTGAACAAAAAAATGTACCCAGGCTGAGAATAAACATATAAAAAGCAAATGAACACAAAAATTGCCTGTTTGCGTCAGGCCGGTGCATCACTTCCTTCCAGAAGCCTCCCTGGTCAGGTTGGGAGCCCCTCCAAGGTCCCGCCTCCCATCCTAGGCACGCAATCACGTCCCTCTCTCAGGGGAAGGGGTTTCTCCAACTAGGCCAGGACCCGCAGGGCTGGGGAAGGGTGGCTCTGTCCCTGTCCAGTGAGAACCCTGTGCAGAGGGAACCTTGTGCAGGAGCAGAAAGTGGTCAGTCTTTGAAGTTGGATGACCCAGACCCATGGGTGCCATTAAGGTCTCATCTGCTCTCTAATTGATGTTGGAGGGGGGAAACTGAGTTGCTGGGGGCAGGGTTCTGATCCTGTGGTGGTGAACGTGTGTCACCGTCCATGGGGGGCAAGAGGAACTCTGCCACCAGCATTCTTGCTGGAGTCGGCGCCCATAATCATCATAGGACAAGACTGGGTCAATCCCCAGGAAGACGCTGAGGTGGGGACCAGCCCTGAGTTGCTTGCAGAGCCTCACAAAGCCCATTTTCCTGTGCTTTGCAGCTGGCGGCTGCTCAGTCTCCGTGTGAACAGCTTGCTTTTAGGAGCCCTGTTGTCACAAAATGTGCCCTTTTCTGACACTGGAATTTTGTGGCAGGGGAGGATGCTCACCCAGCATCCCCCTGGCTCGCGGGACACCCGGGGAAGCTGTGGGGTTGCCTCTCGTTTCTGGGACCCCAGCTCATGCTTGCATGGTTATTTTTCTTTCACACTCTCCTTTTGAAATAGGGGTAAGATGTATATGATGTCATACTCAGCGTGCTGGTCTCTCATGAGTGTGCAGTTCTGTGGCGTTTACTTCGTTCTCAAGTTGAACTTATGAATAGCGCTGGGGGGAACCATGACCCCACCTGTACTCCAGATTTTTTATCATCCCCAACAAACACTCTGTAACCACTAAACAGAAACTACTCATTTTCCTCTTCCCCATCTCTGGCAGCCGCAATTCTAGTTTCTGTCCCTATGAATGTATCTCATCAGAAGTGGAATCCTAAAGTGTTCAGTCTATTGTGTCTGGCTTGTTTCACTTAATACATGGTCTTCTGGATTTATCCGTCTCGTAGTGTGCACCACAATTTCATTGCTTTTAATGAAGGGACCCTGAGCAACTTAGTGAGATTCTGTCTCAAAAAAAAAAAGTTGTGTTGCCCAGGTGCCTTGCATCTAGGGAGAAATTCCAGTGGAACTGGGTATTTGCATAAAAGTCTTTTGCAGTCTACTTGTTAAAATGCTTTTGCAGTGCAGAGATCCAAACCGGGACCTTGTGCGTGCTAGGGAAGCACTCTGCCGCTGAGCCACGTCCCCAACCCTTCATCCTACTGTGTGAAATGATGCAGAGAAGTGACGTAACATTTCTCTTCACACTGTCTCAGAAGTGTGGAGAGGATGAAAGTGCCCAGGAATCCCTCCCGGCCTGCTGTCAGGCACTGTCTTTGTGTAGTTTTCCACACATTTACAGACACATATGAATGTGTGTGAATGTATAGTTTTCTTTTTTGCTTTAGCTTTCGTGTGGGTTTGCGTATTTGTGGTGCTGGGGATAGAGCTCAGGGCTTTGTGCTAGCATACTGTGATGGATTGACAACTGGTGGGCAACTTGTAACACACAGCTGAACTGAATCAGCTGGGTGTGGAAGGCCCACCTGAGGACTGTTGCCAACAAAACGAAAAGACTGGAGAAGAAGAAGAGGTGCTGTTAGGGAGCTGTAGATTCTCTTGGGGCTTTTGGTTCTTCTGGAGGAGGTGGTCATGCTGGCTTTCCTGATATGAACTCGACTGTTCTCGTTGGAGGAACTTGGGACCTCACTGTCACTGAGGATGGCTGTGGTACTTTTCAGGGGAGCTCTGGTCCTTACTTTGAGTGTCGCTTCCTGGCTCCAGTGCAGATCCCTCAGCCTGCTTGCACAGATCCTTCGTCCCGCTGGCACAGACTTTCTAGCGTCCACCACTGGCCGTAAGGCCTTCTTAGTGCAGACCCTTGAAGCAGGCCTGCAGGAGACATTGTTGTGGACTGTTGGACTCACAGGGGGCATTGTTATGGGCTCTAGGTCTTCAGTTGGACTCATGCAGAACATTGCCATGGGATCCAGGCCCTCAGCGGGATTCTTTGCGTCTCTAGTGTGTGGACTGATTTTCTGCACTCCTTTGTACTTTGACTCTTTGGGTGACTATTATAAAATAATCCTATAAATTACGTGTCTTGTATTAAATTGTTTGCCTTATAAACACTGACTACAATACATGCTATACAAATACTCTATCACTAAGGTATATCCCTAGCTCTTTTTATTTAGTTTTTTGAGACCAGATCCTGCTAAATTGCCCAGGCTGGCCTCAACCTTGCAATTTTCCTGTCCCAAGTAGTTGGAATGACAGGCGTATGCCCCCATGCTTTGCAGTTTTCTATTTTGTGCCACTTTCAGTCTTTCCATGTTGGTATTTGCAGCACTAGCTTATTCTTGAAGTTTTATTTATTTTACAGAATGGATGTGTTGTACTTCTTATTGTTAAACACAGAACATTGTTTCTGGCGTGTGTTCCTCTGTGTGGACGCGATGTATTTTGCTGGCCCTGGTCCAGAACAGTGTCTGTCCTGACCCATCGTCTTAGGCCGCCGGACATCCGGCCTCTGTTTTCACACTCACACAGGGCTCCTTGGGCTGCCTTCCAGGGGTCAGCTTCCTGCCCACCTGCCTCTCTGACCTTTGTGTTTCCCTTTGCAGGCCAAGAACAAGGAGACGGGTGCCTTGGCTGCTGCCAAAGTCATCGAGACGAAGAGCGAGGAGGAGCTTGAGGACTACATCGTGGAGATTGAGATCCTGGCCACCTGCGACCACCCCTACATCGTGAAGCTCCTGGGAGCCTACTACTATGACGGGAAGCTGTGGGTAAGGGCACTGCCCCGTGGTCCCTCGGCCCCTTGGCCTGGTGCTCTAGAGTTCGCTTGGCCTTCAGCTTTTCCTTGGTATCTCTTTGAAGGCAAGGGCTGGGGCAAGGGGCAGGTGCAGTGGGGGGCTCTGAGGCCCTGGCCATCCTCTTCCCATGGTGTCTCCCCCTTTTGGGAGTAGGACAATGGTCTGGAGCAGGAGGGAATTCCAGAGCTCCAGTGTCTTTCCCTAAGTTCCAATATTACTGCTTATAAAGCTGGGTAATCCTAGACCTACTCTAAGCCTCTCAGGGCCTTGGCTTTTCCATCTATATAATAGGAATAATAATACAGAGTAACCCCCCTTAATCCAAAAATCTGAAATCTAAATCATTCTAACATGTGAACAGTACTAAAAAAAACTTTTGGGTTTCAGAGCATTTTGGATTTCGGATACTCAGACTAGGGCTATTCAGTTGGTAAAATATTTATGAATAGTTCAAAATCTGAAATGGTCCAGATCTGAAATAGTCCAAAGTCTGAAGCATTTTGGAAAAAGGTGTAGTCCCTAGCTCCTGTAGTCCTCAACTCCTGGAAGATTGCAGGGTTGAATGAGTTGTTTCCTGACAGGTCCCCAGGACAGCGCTGGGCCCATGTAAGAGCTGGGTAGGTGCTGGCTGTTCTGTTATTTGTGGTATTAGCATCTGTTCTGCAGCTGCTACAGCATCAAAGAAGGGGGGTTTTCCACACTCCCCTGTTCTCTGTTCTTTGGAAGCCAGTTTTATGCATAAAATTTGTGTGTGTGTGTGTGTGTGTGTGTGTGTGTGTGTGTATGTGTGTGTATGTGTTGCTTAGGGTAGGACCCAGAGCTTTGCATGTGCTAGGCAAATGCTTTACCACTGAGATAGACCCCCCCAGCCCAAATACCATATTTATGTCCCCCAAATCAGTACCACACTGAAGCAAAATAGTGTGTAGGGAAAGTCCCAAATAAATTCTCCATGCAGTTGGAGGAACATCAGAATCATGTGTAGATAGATCTTCTGAGAAGGCTGCTGAGAGGCCAATAGGTGGATGGCTATCTCAGCTGTCCCTGGCGCTGAGAGGGCCCGGGGTCATGTTACCACACACAGCGGTGAGTAGTGGGCTTCAGAACTGTGTAGTGATCAGGGAGGAATCTTACTGTGGCCGGTGGACACAGGGCTTTGTGACTGGACTCCAAACCCTCTCTACCCTGAGCTGTACCCCTAGACCAGAAAGGGGTGTTTTAAGCCTTATATACCCTATCATGATAGTTTATTATGTATAGAGTTTTACTGTGTTTTAGTTACGTTTCAGGAAATTGGTAGACAGCTTATCGACATATTATCATTTTTCCCATTTAAAACAATGGGAAATAGAGTCCTGGCTTTTTTGCAACAGAATGCCTCATGATTGGAACAGAACTGCCGTTGCTTCCTGGGGAAATCTGTTTCATTTGAGAAAAAGATGCTGGTGCTTAAGAAAACAACAGAGAGCTTACAGACCGTTGCGTGTCCCTCTCACTGTGCAGCCTGCAGACTGAAGTCAGCACAGGGAGGACAGCGGCCCTGGAGTGGGGACTTGGCTCTGTTAGCTTGCGTTCGTCTGTATGCCTTTATATAATGAAACTCTAGGGGCTGGGCACTTTATAAAGAAGAGAGCTCATAGTTCTGGAGGGTCCAGGCCGTGGCGCCAGCGCAGACTCAGCTTGGGCGAGGACCTCATGGTAGACGACTTCCTGGCGAGAGCACGTGCTGGAGGGAGAGGTCACACTGCAGGACAGAGGCCAGGGAGACCAGGGTTGTAGGAGGCTTTGTTTGCCCACTCCAGGGGAGCGCACCCGAGGACCTGAGACCTCCCACCAGTCCTCACCTCCTGAAGGTCCCACTGTTCCAACCCACCAAGGACCAGGCTTCCAACACGAGAACCTTACACCACTGCAGGCAGCGCCGGAGCTCTGTCCCCCGACAGTTCCTGCCCCAGAAGGAGGCCACCTGTTGGAGCATCTCCTTGGGGAGCTACTTAGATAGCAGGGGCTGTCGGCCTCAGCTCTCCAAGCCCTTCTCTGTCCACTGTCTCCGGGCCCTCAGGAGTAGAGGAGAGTGGGGAGAGTCACTGAGTGGTCACCCTTTCTCCGAGGAGGGGACAGAGGCGCAGAGAGGGAGGCCTCTTGCTCAGGGTCACGCTGAGGCTGGGGAAGTGAAGACTGTGTGTTTTCTCTGCCCTGATTTACAGAGCTCCTTTTAAAATGGTTTTTCTTCTTTAAAGAAATCATACAAATTTTATATATGTCTCGTCATCAGAGAAATACAAGAATATACAGAAAAGCAAAGAAAAAATGGTTAAAACCATCCAAGTATTTACACTGGAGATAACCACTGGTGACAGAACATGTTTTTCTTTTTCTTTTTTTTTTTTTTTTTGAGACAAGGTCTTGCTATGTAGTTCACAACGGCTTTGAACTCACTGTGTAGCTCAGGCTGGCCTCATACTCTGAGTGATCCTCCTGCCTCAGCCTTCTAAGTGTAGGGATTATAGGCATGTGCCACCGTGCCTGGCCTTTTTTATTTTTTGAGATATGGTCTGGAGTGGTTATCTCCAGTGTGAATGTGTATGGATAGTTTTAACGTTTTTCTCTTTTTCTTTTCTGTATGTTCTCATTTTTCTCTGATGGTAATATATGTAATAGTTGTATGATCTCTTTAAAGAAGAATAACATTTCAAAAAACAGCTCTATAAATTAGGACAGAGAAACATACATACATACAGTTAAATTGCAGAGTTGCTCAGGCAGGGCTTGAGCTTGTGATTCTCCTGCCTCAGTCTCCCAGAGTGCAGGGATTACAGACATGCGCCACCTTACTCAGCTCAGTTTTTAATGTTTTAAAAATTTCTATCTCCAAACTTGGCTCACACAGCCATTTTTGATGTGAACCAAAAAATTCTCCTGTTGGCCACCTTCCATCCACCCATTTGCTTGTTTGTTCCTCTTGTTCATTCGTGTATTTTTTAGACTGCCGATTATGCCATTAAGAAAAATCTCATGTGTCTGTCCCCATTATTGATTGTGGTTAGGTCCCAAGTTCATTACTCTCCCGGGTTCAAAGCTGACACCAAGAAGAGCCAGCGTGTATTGCAGGCTCACTGTCACCTAATCTTACTCTCTGAGGTTGTTGCTTTGTCCTTGTCTTGCAGAGGCAGATGAGAAACAAAGAAACTGAGTATATTGTCTCCAAGCCACACAGCTAGAATGTGGAGGGGCTGGACAACGAGATAGAGAAAAAGAACAATTCTGGCTTGTGACTGTCCTGTTTAAATAGCTACACCAGGATTTTCTGTTCCCAGATTGTCCCCGATTGCTCGGCTGGTACTTTCCCATCCAAGGCTATTACTGTGGCCGAAACCATTTCTTACCCTCCTCTTTGCGAGCTGCCCCCACAGCCTACATTCGCTGTCCTGTTGACTTTGAAAGGTGCTGTGTCCTTGTTTTGGGGGATTCAGGTTCCTGATCGAGGTTGCGCCGGAAGCTGGTGGCAAACGAAGGAAGCCTTGCAGCGGGTGGCACGGGCGCAGTGTGGAGGCCGAAAGGCATAGCGTGTTCGGGCGGTTGCTAGTCTCAGATGAGGGCAGTGCGTGCGGAAGATCTGGGTGGTAAAATAATTGGAGGCCGAGCTGTAGAAGGCCTGAGTGCCGAGGTCAGAAGTTTGTCCTTGACTTTTCAGAGTAATGGTTGTTGGAACAGCATGAGCATTGCCCGGGACCTTCTTAGTCACGCACAGAGACATCAGAAATTCGGTCAGCAATCTGCATTTTATGGAGCCTTCCAGGGGACTCTGATATTTACCTAAGTTTGAGAACCACTATTCTAGGTTTCAGGGGAGACCCACATGTTCTGTGTTCTAGAACTCACATTTGAGGGCCAAGAGTTAAGGCATTGAGTCTGATCAGGAAGTGGTAAGAAGAGGTTGCATCAGAAGCCCAAGGATATAACATCATCTGGTAAGGAAAGGCTTCAGAGGAAAGGGCATTTGAACTGGGTCTTGCAGGATGCGTAGGAGTCCTTTAGAAAGACAAGAGAAAGAAGCACAATCTAATGAGCAGGACAAGTGTGTGCAAGTGTGGGAGGGAGAAGTCATGTGGTTCTGAGAGTTAAGGGTATGCCAGCCCTTTGGGGTTTACTTCTGTGGGATGGTTCTCAAGCATATCTTGTGGCCAGGCCTGGGTCTTTGTTGTGTTCCCAAGAGTCAGCTTATCTATGTGAGAGTCCCACAAAATCAGCCCTGGGCCCGGGGTCTGCTCTCGGGAAAGTGAGAACCTGGGTGGTGGCAGCCCTCTTGTGCAGCTGTGGCAGCCAGAGACAAGACTTTCCCCTTGTTCAGGGTGAAGGTCCTTCACCAGTCAGACAAGCGGAGCTCATTTTCTTCTAGAACTTGTAAGCTTAAAAGAATTCTTTTAGTGGTTTCTTACTTCCACTTCTGCTTTTCAAGTATCAGATGGTGCAAGTGGGTGGTATGAAGCAACCCCAAATGCTCTAGATTGGCCCTTTCCATTACACATATAATGTGAGTCACATATATAAGTTTCCAGTAGCCACATTCAAAAGAGCAAAAAGAAATGGATAAATCTAATTTAAATAGTTATTTAACCTGGTGTATCAGTAATACAACATTTTTGACGTACTGTAATCCCAGTAGTTTTGACACCTGTAATCTCAGTACTTGGGAGGCCGAGGCAGGAGGATTGCCACAAGTTTGAGGTCAGCCTGGGCTATGTAGTGAGTACAAGGCCAGCCTGAACTACATAGCAAAACCCTATCTCAGAACAAAACAAAACTAATTATTAGTAAGGTATTTTACTTTTTTACTAAGTCTTCAAATCCAATATGTGTAGCAGTTTCAGCACATCTCAATTTAAAAATGATTAGTTTTCATCAGAAATCCTGGGTCTGTATCTAGATGTCATAAAGTTGATAGTTGAAAAAAGCTGATTCTCATCCCCAGG